AAACTCCGACTAAAAAAAAAAAAAAAAAAGAACTAAATCTAAAACCTAAAACTAGAAAAACTAGAAAATAACATTGAAAAATCCTTCTAGACTTTGGCTTAGGCAAAAATTTCATGACCAAAAACCCAAAAGCAAAAAAAATATAAACAAAGATAAATAGCTGGGACTTAATTAAATTGAAGAGCTTTTGCACATTAAAAGAAACAGCAAAGTAAACAGACAACCCACAGAGTGGGAGAAAATATTTACAATCTATACATCTGAAAAAGGACTAACATCCAGAATCTATAACAAATTCAAACAAATTAGCAAGAAACAAACAATTCCTTCACAAAGTGGGCTAAGGACATGAATAGACAATTCTCAAAAGACGAGATGCAAATGGCCAACAAACAGGAAATAATGCTCAACATCACTACTGATCAAGGAAATGCAAATCAAAACCACTATGCGATACCACCTTACTCCTGCAACAATGGCCATAATCAAAAAATTAAAAAAAAATAGATGTTGCCATGGATGAGATGAAAAGGGAACACTTCTACACTGTTGGTTGGAATGTAAACTGGTACAATCACTATGGAAAACAATGTGGAGATTCCTTAAAGAACTAAAAATAGAACTACCATTTGATCCAGCAATCCCACCACTGTGTATCTATCCAGAGGAAAATAAGGAAAAGATATTTGTTTATAGCAGCACAATGTGCAATTTAAAAAATGTGGAACCAACCCAAATGCCCATTAATCAACAAGCATATATATATACATATATATATAAATGGAATATATGTACAACGAAATACTACTAAGTATACACAATTTGCAATTTCAAAAATGTGGAAATAACCCAAATGCCCATCAATCAACAAGTATATATATATATTCCATTTTATATATATATATTCCATTTTATATATATACATATATGTATGTTTACACATATATACATACACACACATATATACATACATATGTATGCATATATGCATGTGTATATATGTATACACACATACATATACACACGTATACATATATATACACACATTATATGTATATATGTATGTATGTATATATAAAAAATGGAATAGATATATAATGAAATACTGTGAAGCCATAAGAAGGAATGAATTAATGGTATTCACAGCAAACTGTATGAGATTGGAGACTTATTCTGAGTGAAATAACTCAGGAACAGAAAACCAAACATCAGTTGTTCTCACTCATAAGCAGGAGCTAGGCTATGAGGATGCAAAGACATAAGAATGACACATTGGACTTTAGGGACACGGGGGGAAAGCGTGGGAAGGGGGTGAGTGATAGAAGACTACAAATTGGAAGACGCATACACCAAAATCTCACAAATCACCACTAAATAACTTGCTTGTGTAACCAAATATCACCCCAAGATTTGTGGAAATAAAAAATTTTAAAAAGACATATATTATTGTCATTTCATTCAACTGAATATAGTTTATACATATAATTTTATATTTTAAGCAAGTTGCAAAATCAATAGTAACATGTTTAGTTTTTACTTATAAAATTATATTTAATTATATAAGTATATTTATTTATGTAAGTATATAAATCCAATATTGGAAATTTATAAATATATTTACTATCTGACCCTTCACAGAAAGTAATCGACCCCTGCACTGGATGGTCCATTACAACTTCCATATTCTAGTTTTTCTATTCTAAAAATCCTTTTCTGCTGCCATTCTTACTCAAGGGAATTCCAGCTGATGGCAGGAAAAAAACAAGTAAATTTTTTACCATGACTGCAGAGATTTTCCTAAGGCAACTTTCCATTCCAGAAACTTCACCTGTGGTCATGAGAAAGGGCCTTTGCACTCTTTGTGCTAGCAGACCCCAGTTACTCATTATAAATGGCCTTTCAAAAAGCTCCACATTAGCTCCTCCAGATTTTACAGCCTCGAACAATTAAATCATGGTGTCTCTGACAGTAAGCCAGCTCTTTAAAATCAGTCCCATAACTAATGTTGAGTGGAAAAAGAAGCTGAGCTCAGTAAGCAGTGTTTCTCACTCTTCGTTATGAACCACGTGTCCTTTTTTTTTTTAATACTACGTATGACAATTGTTTTCTATATTATAGATTATTGTGAAAGGCTCCAGACGTTCAGGAAAAACATTTAAATATATAACTGGCAAAAGTTCTTTGAGATTAAAGTAGGGCTGGTGGAGACAGACATCCCTAAGCTCTCATTAAATGAAAGCCTTTCAGAAAATTATCATTCTTCATATTATGTCCTGGTCTAAACAGCAGAGTCTCATTATGGGGAAGTTTATCAAATATTAAATTTACAACAGTTATGTCAGTGCCTACTATGGTGCTGGGCATATAGTAGACACTCATTAAGTGTCTGTTGGATGAATGAGTGGTCTGTGATGGGTACTTTCCACTGAATTGCAGCCCTCTGAAAATGTTAAATATAAGAAAAAAATACTACCATGGGCATTTGGTGATGGGCATCCAGTCAGCAGCATGTTAAGAGTCCAGACATAAATGAAAAATGAATTACCACACATAAAGACCTATACAGGAGCCATGGGGTTGAGGTCTAGAGGGCTGCAGGGGTGCTCGACAAATAATGAATGACTAGCTTCACTGGAGTCTTATTTACTCTCAATTGGTGACATTATCTTCAGGTAAACTATCTTGTCTTCTTTAACCCTATGAGCAGCCTGAGTAAATACTTCCTATATGAATTTTCTCATTGCTTTTGGCTTTCATTTTTCTTCAATTCCCTAACAAGGATTTAAATAGAATCAAGACATCGTTATATAAAACTTCTTGTATGGCCTTCAAAGGGACTTTCCAAGTTAACAAATAACTATTTTTTTTCTAAAAAATGTATAAGTAAAAGCCAATTCATGAAAATTTGCTATTTACTCTTCATTCTTGCTATTTGTTGCTTTTTATTTTGTGCAATATTTAATATTTACTGAAGGATATCATGAATGATACAATGAAAATGTATTTGCACATTACCCATCTTGAGAAATAAAACCTTTTCAATTCAGTTGAAGTCCCAAGAGGTCTTATCCCTGATTATAGAACTCTTTCTCCCAGCTAGAAATAACAACTTCCTTGACTTTGGAGATTATAATTCCTATGTGACTCTTTATACTTTTCTTCACATATACTCATTCCTTAAAATATACAGTATTGTTTAAAAACTTATGGTCTTCATGTAACTGGTATCATAATTTGGATATTATTTTGCAAACTGTTTCATTAATATTGCATTTTTGAAGTTTAGCCTTACTGATACATGTGTCTGTTGTATAGTATTTCGATGTATGACTATAATATAATATTTTCATCCACTTCATTTTTTATTAATATTTATATTCTTTGCATAGTTTATTCCTACTACGAACAACATTTTATACAAGTCTCCTTGTGGATATTGCAAGAGTTTCCCTAAAGTGGGAAATTAATGATAACATTTATACTACTACTAATTATAAAATCTGCAACATATCAAAAGCTAAAAATGTAACTTCTAAGTATTTCACATATATTAAATCACTTTATTATCCATATCAGTGCTATGAGAGATAAAATTATTGTCACCAATTTACAGATATAAAAAACATAAGTGGGCAATTGCTGGATGAGATGCAAATTTTCAATTTTACCAAATATAGCAAATAATTCTTCAAAGCTTTTAAACAGTTTCCACTCTCATTAGTGGTATATAAATACTAATATGTATTCTTGTAGCACTTAATCATGTCAGGTTTTCAAAATAGGATTTAAAAACCTTTATAAAGACAAATAACATATATTCATGTATTATTTGTGTAAATGCTAAGAGAGAGATATCAAAATAAATTCTTCCTTAGGCATGGTGGAAAAGGAAGGAGATCACAAAGGTTGGGAGATGAGAAACAGTAAAATGCCCTTAAGAGAGTCAAAAACATTATTGATCATCTGGCACATGCCTGTTCAAGGAGTCAAGCCATACAACTACAAAGTCTTTGTTTTCTCAATGCTTAAGGAGCTATTGAACACCACAGGGGAAAGTCTGAATGAAAAACCCAAGGATAGAAAATCCCATCGCCTCCCTCAATGCTTTCCCAGCTTGAACATTATAATTTCTCAGTGAGTGATGTGCTCTGAATACTTTCACCTTTTCCTTTTAGTTGTGGGTCATAAAAGAGGAGTTTTTACCTCCTTTAATTGAACAATAGCACAGAGAAAAAACTCAGTTCTTTTTTAAAACCTAAAATGTTCGCTTTTCTCCAGCATTTATTAATTTTCTTGCATGTCCCATAAAAGGAACGAATGTTTATTATGCATGCTTGATTGCAGGAGAGATATACTCAAATTATGAATGCAGGAGATTAAGGATCCTTACAACCATGGTCACATCAAATGAAAATACAACTTTTCAGCTCACAGAGGCTGTTGGAAATGCCATTTCCACTCATCAATATTAACACTTGAAGCACAAAAGGAACTTAAAGTCCCACCAAATGAAAATTCCCACAGTGTGGGAAGTGGGCTTTATGCCACAGGGATGGCTGATTCTCTCCTCATCAAAGAGACCCTCTGTGTTCAGCAGATTTCAGAAATTCTAGCATTTTTGTAAGGGAGTTATGCAAACATTCTTGACTAAGTAAAACAGTTAAGACTGGTTTTGCAAAGAAATAAAACTTCAGTCCATAAAATTTTAAGATATGCTCACAGCAACAAAACTATACTTTAGTCACACACCCTATGTTTTTATGGGAAATTCCTTTCCCCACTGAAAACTTAGAGGTACTATCACCTCCATAAAATACTACCCACCCCCTAATCCTCAAAGGGAGAATTTAGGAACTCTGAAAGTTCTGATCCTTTACTGAATTTTATAGAAGAAGCTTTATGAGGCCATCAACTACCCCTTCTGATTCACTGATTCTGGAGAAACATCAACAGCAAAAATAAAAGTTTCCTTCTTTTGTTTCTCAGTCCCACCGAGTTTGAAAAGGTCTCAGTTCTTCAAACATCAATCTGGATTACTTAGTGGACACAATTTAAAAGATAAATAAATACATCTTCCTGACATTCCAGTTATAAAGACACTTCCAGGTTTGGTGTCAGTTATTGGTTAAATCCCCTCAGCTCAGGGATAGAATGTATTTTCTTCCCCTCTTTTAAAACAAAGAAAACTTATTTCACGGTGGATGCTTGCTTATGGAGGGATCAGTTTCCAAGCAATTTAGTGATTATAAGCCAGTCCTTATTCTCCCATAAAGCTACTCAAAAGTTGGGCAAAGTTCGCCATGATACTCAAATGAAAGAGAAGGAAAGAAAGAGTAGCTCATTTAGGAAATGCATTGCCCTTTGTCTATGTCTTAATTTAGCCAGTGTGTCTATTCTCCATTAGGACATTTGTGTCTGAGTTCTCCTAAGTTACCTGAGATCTTAGACTGTAACATGTGACTCCAGAAGAGCCTGTTCAATTAAAGACAATGCCAACTAACAAAACTTCAGCTCATGATGTATTCAGAAGTCAATGTCTGAAGTCACTATATTTTTTAGCACCAAAAAAAAAAACATGATTTTGAGAAGCATACTATTATTCAAGAGTGTGTTTATCCTGTGATAAGTTTCTGGAAGCATCATTCGATACTTGTCTTCTTTTTACATGGAGTGGAATGTTGGGGTCCAGAGACAGAAAAAATAGGGAAGGAATGTGAAGCGCTAAAAACAAGGGAGAGAAAGAACAGAGAGAGAATCAATGAAAGAGACAACAATTAAACAGGTCTTAAAATGTCTCATTCCTCCCTAATAAATTAGCATATATAGGAAATCTCATTTTCCCTTAAGGAGCATGAAGGTAGGGCATGAAGGGCGAATGGCTTAGTCCATTTTCTGCTGCTGTAAAAGAGTATCAGACTGGGTAATTTATAATGAACAGAAGCTTCTTTGACTCATGGTTCTGGAGGCTGGGAATTCCAACATCTAGGGGCCACATTGTGAGGGTCTTCTTGCTGTGTCACAGCATGGCAGAAGGCAACACAGGGTAAGATACAGAGAGAGAAAAGGGAGGCCAAACAGGTAACTAACCCGCTCCTGCAATAACAGCATTAACCCATTTATAGGGGCAAAGCTTTCATGATCTAATCACCTTCTAATAGTCCCACCTGTTAATTCCATAACAACGTCAGTTAAATTTCAACATGAGTTTTGGAGGGGACAGTGAAACCACAGCAGTGGGAAGGACGGTTCCTGAACCTAAGGAAGCCCACAAGTGAGGCAACAAATCCAACTTCAAGAGTCAAAAATTAAAGCTAATATTGCTGGCTGTTGTCTTAGTTTGGGATCCCCCAGAGGCAGACCCTGATGCTGCAATTTGAGGACAATTAGTGTGTCTTGGAGGCAAAGGAAACACAAGTACGACAGTGAGGAAGTGAGACACAGAAGGGAAATCAACCATAATAATTATAAAATCCAGCCAGCACTGAGTGACTGAGACTCAGTCCTATTGGATAATTCTGAAAGTTAGTAGAACAGATGCCTCAAAGATCTTCCCTTTCTGCGGGTAAGAGAGCTGGGATACTCACTGGCTGCTGCTTCTAGGGGTATTCATTTTGACACTTTCAGCACTGTCTGTGAGCAGGCTGAGCCAGGCTTGCTCACCAGAGAAAGCCCTCAGGCACAGTAATACTGATGGTGGTGGTTGAAGTCTATGAGAATATGCTGAAGTGAGGGGAGGGAGGGTGGATGGACACCAGCAGTGTCAGCTATAGTTGTACAGGGCTAAATATAAAGAAAGGTTCTCCAATTCCCACTTTGCATCACAACCCAAAAAGTGGCTGACTTCTATGTTCCACAAGCTATTTGATAGATACATCACTTCATGTGACAGATTATTAAGCACAATTAAACAGGGGCCAACTGAATTTTAATACTGCCTCCTTTAATGACTTAGCAGGGCACAAAAGCTCTAGAAATACGAAGCTGCTCCACCACTGGAGTTACAGAGGATGGACGTGTTCTGCCTTTCATTACTCAAGACAGATTTGCAATGATCAAGAGGCGTCCTGTGAATGCAGTTTGCAAAGGACTTAGGCACATGTCATCTCCTTTGTTCTCACCACAAGGCTGCAGGGTGTGCAGATGTGAGGATTATTTCACTGGTGAAGAAGCATCCTGAGAGGTTACACAGTTCAACTAACGTCACACCAAGAGGTATAAACTTGACCCACTTTCTTCTTTCTCTTTTCTTCTTTCCACTATACTTTGCTTCATTATAAGGCTACTGCCAGTTCAGAGAATATTTTAGCTAAAGTTAATTTAAGGCCTCCAAGAATATTTGAAAGTATGTGCTATATCTAAAAGTATATAAAAATGAGAAAATATAAAAGATGTGTTCCAGTTTCTGACACACTGATAATTATAATATACAGATACAATGATGACCAAATCTCTAATATCTGTCATCTGAAATTGATCCTAGAGCACTTACTGCTTGGAGAGTATTAAATACAAAATGAGCCTGAACCTTTCCTTATGGCATCATTGCCAACTGCATTTGGAGAGTCTTCTAGGTTCACAGATTTTTGACTCACTTTCTTTAGCACAAGCTTGGGAAGTAAAGTCACACATTTACTCACATTGCACTCAAATGTGTGGAGAAAAGATGGCATCTTTATTTCTCTAAAATGGACTTTTGTCTTCTCATAAGTGCCATCTGCTGGTCTGTATGTGTATGTCCTTATGAACGTACAAGTAAGTTCAGAGGCATCAGAATTCTCAAACTTTTGGGTGAAGCATAACATATTTAAAGGATTGTGCAAATGTCTTAAATGTACATCGCCATGATTTTTCACAAAATAAACACACACAGGGAGTCAGCACTCAGAGCAAGAAACAGAACATCATCGGCACGGCAGAACCACCACCCCCAACACCTCTCCGTTACTATATCTTGGAGTGGAAGTAATTGACATATTGCAGTCCAGTAAACTAGGTTTAATTTCTTAATCATACATAAACTATTCATTATGTAAAACTCCCAATCTGTCAGACCGTGCCACTTGCTCTCTTCTCTGCCCTCAGCAGAAGAGCATCTGGGCATTTGGACATGGAGGACATAGGGCACAAGCATCTCATGGTCAGGGAATGGGGAGGAACATCTCAGATCAGCATTCAGAGTTCATTCTGGCCCTAGGAAAAGAGTCAAGCACACCCTGCTCTCACCAGCTGCTGGTAGGTGTCACTCAGGTAATGCACAGCTGAACAGAACCCAGTTATCTCTCAACTACATTAGCTCAAATGATGCTGTGAATTTCTCCCAGTACAAGGTCATAATCCTAACCCAGATTATTCCAAGTTGGTGCTTCCTTCCCCCACCATGATAATCCTTCTGCAACATCCTTGACCATTCACACCATTATTCCTATTTCCCCTCTATAAGAATATGTGGGTTCACCCGGATCCCATTCATGTCATTTGGGAACTGAGGACAGCCTGAGGACATTCAGTGTCAAGCCCTCTCTCCTTGTGCCTTTATGACTGTGACATTTCTCCCTCCCAGGATCCCAAATGGGAAATAGGTCTTGAAAGAGATATCAGAGGCCAGGCACGGTGGCTCATGCCTGTAATCCCAGCACTTTGGGAGGCGGTGCATTACGAGATCAGGAGTTTGAGACCAGTCTGGCCAACATAGTGAAACCCTGTCTCTACTAAAAATACAAAATATTTACTGGGCTTCATGGTAGGCACCTGTAATCTCAGCTATTCAGGAGGCTGATGCAGAAGAATTGCTTGAACCGGGAGGTGGAGGTTGCAGTGAGCTGAGATTGAGCCATTGTACTCCAGCCCAAGCAACAGTGCAAGAATGTCTCAAAAAAAAAAAAAAGAAGAAAAAGAAGAAAAGGGCTATCAGACACATGTCTGACCATACATCTCACCATTACATCTGTCTTTGGCCACTGTAAGAGCACCATTGCCCATTGCCATATTAAAAGTGGCCACATGCAGAGCCTGCCTTCCTTAGCATCCATGCAGAAGGCCCAAGGAAACAGGCTGCAGGCCCAGTAATCTGGGGCTCCTCTATACTTTTCTGGATGAACTTAACCTGCCACATTCCTGGGAATAAGAACTTCAGGAACTGACATGTTCACTCCCTCCAACATCTGCCTTCCTTCCTCTTATGACTTTGGATATATAAGTCATGCTCTTCAGGCTTCGCTCTCATCTATATTGTATTATATCCTATCCTATCCCATGGGGCTTTTCTTCAACTGCATATCCAACCACTCCTCTCTTAGTGGTCCTAGTCAGGAGGGGTCTTCTTTGCTGTAGAAGAAAGCCTGTGATCTGAGCCTAGGGATACAACTCTTAGTCTGCTCAATGGGGCCTAAAGAACCCTTAGAAAATATTTTCTCTCAAAATAGAGGCTGACTCTCAAGATTCTTATTAAACAACAACAATTTTGCAAGTCATGTTGTTCTCTCTGGATTTCCACTGTAGCAAATCTCATCTCTCTTCATCCTCCCACCCACTGCTCTCCATTTCACCATCTTCCCAAGGAAATGGATGCTTCAGGCCGACTATGGAGAATGCCATATACTTGGAAACATAAAAGAGAAAAATGAATGTCTCAAAATATTAATCCCAACATACACAAAGTAGTAAATTGCATGAAGAGTAATTTTAACAGTTCCCCCAATATTCCTGCATTTATGCATAACCACATACTGTAACTAAAGAACTCGAATTTACTAGCTTCAGAAGCATTAAGATTTGGAAAAAAAAAAAAAGAAAAAAGAAAAAGACAGCAGACATTCCTGTGTATATATACAATCCTTTATAATTTAAAGATGTTTTCAATAAATTATCTCATTTGATCCTCACAAAGTAAGTTTTGCTGTCTTCATTTGGAGGCTGACAAAGGCTAAACTATTTGCCACCAGCATATAGTGATACGATTAGCTCAAAAAATAATCTTTTATTTTGAAACACACTTTTCATGTAACTCTGAAGGTAAAAACTGAAACTAGGAGTTTGGGCTAGACTCACAGCTTTGAGAAGAACCTTCTTTGTGAACCATTTTCATCATGAGATGTAAACCAAATAGCAGTCCATTATCCTTTGGGAAACTCTGAACATTGTCAAAAGTCTCTAAATTCATATGCATCAGAATGTTCTTAAAATGTGTGCGCCATGGTTGTGGGAGGTGCATCCTTCAAGAGTTTAATAGCACAAAGTAATGTTTTCCTTCCTCGGGCAATAACCAGAGGCAGGACTTGGGAGTCTTTCTCTGGAGAACACAAAAACTTGGACTCTTTTTGGGACACAAGCATGAGCCCCAGCAGGTTTTCAGTGTTCTAGATGCTGTGTCCATACAGAAATCAAGGATAAATGGCACCTCATAAATTCTTTTAACAAAGAGAAGCTGGGATTGTATCTGTGAGCTTCTGTTTTATGCATTGTACTTACATTCCTTATCGTCAAATATCAGCAGTGTGTAATTCACAGCCATTTTGGAAGTTAAGCTTGAAGGAATCATCTTTGTTCATATCCTTTGGCAAAACAGACCAGAGACAATAATTATGGTGTGAAAAGGAGGTCAGAAGGGCCGGGAGCAGTGGCTCACACCTGTAATCTCAGCATTTTGGGAGGCCAAGGTAGGCAGATCCCTTGAGGCCAGGGGTTCTAGACCAGCCTGCCCAGTATGGTGAAACCCTGGCTCTCCTAAAAATACAAAAATTAGCTGGTGAGGTGGTGTATGCCTGTAATCCCAGCTACTCAGGAAGCTGAGGGAGGAGAATTGCTTAAACCTGGGAGGTGGAGGTTACAGTGGGCCAAGATCACACTACTGCACTCCAGCCTGGGTGATGAGAATCTATCCAAAAAAAATAAAAAGAAGGGTCACAGACCTGAAAAAGGAGATGGATGGCGCCTCAGTCTGGAGTATGATGTATTGAGAGCACAGATGGCACATGGAACATTCTAGCACTCCTCAGGCAGGGTTCTCAGAATACCTGCTGACATCACAGAGGGATCAGATTGTAGATCAGTGGACAGCAGAGGAAAGGGGACCTTGTCTATGCCATGTGAATTAGCCAAAAATAACTTTTTAAGTCTGTAATTACATAGCATCTTCCTCACAGACAGCCTTTAAAGGACAGCATCATATTGTCCAAAATAAGTGGGATTTCATGTCTTTCTTCTGTTCGCAGGCTGCCCGTTTTGCCAGTCTGACAAATAATTTCTTAGTGAAGTGCTTATTTCAGACTGAACCACAAGATGTCAGCCAAAGCTTGGTCATTTTGAATTTTCCTGGCTCTTGAAACAACTACATTTTTTCACTTTTACGACCAAGAGAAAATTTGAGAAGCTCATGACCCCTCATAATTAGATGCAGCAGCCACAGCAGATGCTTGTCCTGGGAGCTCTTCATGCCTGTTCCCAGCCTTCTTCAGTGGAGACTGCACAAGATAACTCAAAACTGGCTCCTTTCTGTGACATCATCCAGGAAACTGCACTCCAAATGTGGGTGTGCACAGATCTCCACCACTGGTCCTTGCTCTCTCCTGTCTTTTTTCCTCCTCCTCAGCTATGCTCTGGGGCAGTTGAGTAATCCTGCGTGCCTTGGGAGATGACCATTCAGGAATGAGATCCTACCTTTCCTTTTCCCAGGCATCCCCAACCTTATGAGGGATTCCCATCACCTGGCTTTACAGAGAAGAAGGCATCTCTGTCATGAACTCTTGTTTTATCAGGTTGAAACTCATACTTCCTGGGAATCCCCCACTTCTCTCAATTCTTTCACACGCTGGGGAGGGGACTACAGAGACCTTTGGGGATAGTACCGAGATGTGTCTCCTCTTGGCTAGCCCATGGGAGGGACTGGACTCAATGGTTTGCAACCCTTTTTAGAAGGTTGGCATTTAACTCACTTTATCCTTAGGTTTAGTTCATTGATGCCTAGGTGGAGCCATGGTGAATGTCCTCCTCAACATCTTTTACATTTTACACTGATAACAGTTATTAAAAAGAGCTTCACGTTTGGCTGGTGGATCAGTGTGCAGTACTTAAGAAAAGAGAAAAACTCTAACCTATTTTGAGTACTTACTCTTTCATCTAGTTGTCACTGTAAGACAGTGAAGTTGTTATCACTTTCGCTTGATAAATGAGGAAAATTTGAGCTCAGAAAGTATTCAGTAACCTGTTGAGGGTCTTAAGAGTTAGTGAGTGGGACAGAAACACAGATCTGATTCTAGAGCCCTTTTTCTTTCACTCTTTCCTTTTGAAAAAAAAAATACCTTTACTCCTTCTGCATTTGTTACAAAGTGGTATCTAGTAAGTGGTCCTGAAAACTTTCTAAATAACTAGTTTAAAATAATCTCTGAAAATTTATACAAACAAAAACCTTCCTTGAAACAGTATAGACTCTCTCTTTCAGTAGGCTACTAGACTCTCAAATCACCCATTTCAATCATTTAGAGCTGCCATTGCCTTTGGCCTCCTGGTTTAAACTAGTCTGAATTGGAAATACAGGCAGCTATTAGTAGGGATAAAGACAGTGAATGTCCAGGACAGAGCTGAGATGCATTTCTAGGTTTGAATGGAATCAGTAATAAAAGTCCAAAGTAAATGATTCACCATTCACTCTTCAATGATGGATGTAATGTATTATTTTTTCTTTTTTTAAAAAAACAAATTTAAAAAAAAATTATTTTAGGTTCGGGGTACATGTGCAGGTTTGTTATATAGGTAAATTTTTGTTATGGGGGTTTATTGTACAGGTTATTTCTTAACCCAAGTATTAAGCCTAGTACCCAACAGTTAGATCTTTCTCTTCCTCTCCCTCTTCCAACTCTTCACCCTCAGGTAGGCCTCAGTGCCTGTTGTTCTCCTCTTTGTGTCCATGTGTTATCATTTAGCTCTCTCAATTTTACATGAGAATATGCAGAATTTGGTTTCTATTCCTATGTTAGTTTGCTAAGGATAATGGCCTCCAGCTCCATCCATGTTCCTGTGAAGGACATGACCTCATTCTTCTTTATGAATGAGGACATATGAATGAGTGTCAGACACACTGGAAAACTGACCCGTGTGTCTGACAGATGGTGAGTCCTTTGCTGTACATGGCCCTCAGAAAAATGACACAATTCTTTCACTTACACCAAAGTAAGCAAATGCTGAAAGAGCTTATAATGAAACATCACATTCCCCAATCTGGACTTAGCAACTCCACTGGCCAACCTTGTTATTATTTCTGATTTTAATTCTACTGGTGACTATTTTCCACCTCTCTATTTTTTAAACTGTTTCTGGGTATCAACTTTGGATAGTATTTATTGGCATCTCAGTATGAGAGGTGAGCTTGGCAGGCCACGAACTCCCAGGCTCTGGTGTAAATGACCACATGATCACACCAGCTACTGCAGTGACAGTCACGCAGAGGGGCTTTCCATTCTTAGCAGACCTGGGGTAAAAGAGGTCCTTCCAAGAGCTCTCACCTAACTCTGGGAACACAGAATCTTCCATTACAAGGCCTGTGGTCACAAAGCCTTCAGGATAGATACAGGCTCTTTCCTTTACTTTACAAAGCCCCAGAAAGGCTGGCACTAACATGGCATGTCATTGCCGCACTTTGAGGGCAGGAACTGGCTCCTGCTCCAGTTTGCATCCTCTGTGCCCAGCAGCTGGCCGATCTGCTCCATGCAGGAAGAGCAGGTAGCTTCAGGCTGTCCACCCAACTGTCACAAAGGGTGGGGGTGCAGAGAGCATGAGCAGCCGAGATGAAGTCCTCACAGGCTTCTTCGATTCTTTCTACTATGTGAGATATTCTGGATGTCTGAGGGATGAACAGCAAACAAAACGTCCTCTATCCATACAATGGGGACAGTAATCAGCCCTAAGAAGGAGGGAAATTCTGATGCATGCTACAACACAGATGGGGCTTGAAGACGTCATACAAAGTGAAAGAAAGACAGTTGCAAAACGAAAAATGACTACATGATTCCACTCAGATGTGGCACCTAGAGTCGTCAAACTCACAGAGACAGAAAGTAGAGGCAGGGCGCGGTGGCTCAAGCCTGTAATCCCAGCACTTTGGGAGGCCGAGGCGGGTAGATTGACTGAGGTCAGGAGTTTGAGACTAGCCTGACCAACACAGTGAAACCCCATCTCTACTAAAAATACAAAAAATTAGCCCAGTGTGGTGGCAGGCGCCTATAATCCCAGCTACTCGGGAGGCTGAGGCAGGACAATCACTTAAACCCAGAAGCTGGAGATTGCCGTGCGCTGAGATGGCACCATTGCACTCCAGTCTGGGCAACAAGAGCGAGACTCCGTCTCAAAAAAAACATAAAGACAGACAGTAGAATGGTGGATGCTAGGGGGAGATGGAAGAAAGAGCTTCACCTCCTTCCAGCATCCCTTCCACCCCACCTCTACTGCTCACACACACTCACACCCCATGGGACTCAGCCTGTAGCTTCTCCCAGCCCAGGAACCCAGGAGCTAGACAGTGGGGAGACGCACAGAACTCCCTTCCTCACAAATGAGGGAAGACTCAGTGCCCCATCACTAGTGCCATCACCCAGTCCCAGCCTAGCCGTGGGGCCCACTCCAAGGGCCCCCCTGCCAGTGCTGCTAGCACCCACCAAGGGAGAGCTGCTGGCACACAGCCACAAGTCCAGCTTTATCCACTCACTCCCTGGACACTGCCTGGAGCCCCAGCAGGTTTCATGTCCATGTCACCCCAGCCCTCCTGCCCAAGAAATCCTAAGTTTAGGAGACCCTCTCCAGCCCAGGTTGCAGGGAAAGGCAGCCCCCAAGGTCACCTAGGAGTGAGTGCAGAGGGAAGGGCATTCTGGATGCTTCGGACTTGGAAACACAGATTCTGTCTCCTACATAGTGGCCACACCTCCTGGGAGGAGAAACCCCTGCCTCATCACAATGGAGATACCCTGACAGAGGCCTGAGAAAAAGCCACCTGCAGGCTCCCGGCACCTACCAAGTTGCACCTTAGGAAAGCCTGTCCCGCTTCAACCTGCAAAGCTCTCAGGTCCTAATTTCTAAAACCTCTGTCCTTTCTCAAAGAGGTCGGAAAATAGAAAAAGAAAAAAAACAAAACAAAAAACGAACGACAACAACAAAAAGAGGCAAAGGAGGTTGAAGAGGCCAAAGGCAGTTTAGCCCCCACCCCCCCCCCGCCCCAAAAAAAGTGCCAGACACCTGATGCGGAGTTTGGGGTGCTTGACCCTCTGCATGCCCATTTAGGAGCTGACTGTGCTCAACCAATATTTACCTCTGGTCCCTGTCAGGTCTTATTTAAACAGATGTGAAAAAATAAGCCTTCCTCCTTCCAATAAATACTAAGTTAACACTGGCAGGTTCCTCTAAGGCTCTGCTCTGCACTGGGGTCCCACAGGGCAGGCCCATCGCAGGCGTCCTCACCCTCATCCTCTCTCCACATCTGGCCAGGAAAAAATGTTCACCCAGGCCTGGGCATACCGAGGCCCAACTGCCCGGTCCATAGAGCCCTACTTCGCGACCAGGGGCCTCAATGTTCTCCTTCATCATCTGCGGCCAGACTACCACCAGCAGCCTTGCCAGGCAGTTCCTGCTGTGGGGAAGGGGCGCCTCCAACCCGCAGCCTGCAGCCCAGGAGCAACGGGGTGTTTGAGAAGTTTTTCCCTCGGGGCCTTGTTATAAAGGGAAAGGGGAGGGGGTGAAGATCTGGGCTCAAGTCCCTCGGGGGCAGTAAACCCATAGGCGACCCCAATCCAGTTGCCGCCGAGGACCAGCACTTCATGCCAACGCCAAGCGGGGCCATGGAATGTACCAGCTGCCCGGCCAGTCTGGTGGGACCTGAGAGGGCGCCTGGGCACTCCCAGACAGTGCCTCTTGCTGGCGCCTGGTGGCCTTTTGCTGCGGTGCCCCCTGCCCAGGATGTGAGAGCCGCCTCCTGGTCCCTGCTGCATCCACCCACTGGCCGTGGGAGGGGGAAGGGGCCGCCAGGCTGTACCCCCAGATCCCAGCAATGGTTGCCCCGCAGCCCCACGCCCCCGCTGAGACCAGAGGGGAAGGCTCGGAGCGCTCTGGCCGCAGGTTCAGCACCACTCCATCTCGTCTGGGTACGCACGCGTCTACCCCGCGGGTAGAGCCAGCAAGTCAGATAGCCTGGGCCCAGCTCACCTGGACAGGGCGTGGGGCTATTCCAGTGTTCTGCCTAAGACGCCAGCCGCCGCTCGCTCAGTCTGGGAAGCCTAGCTCCTGACGAAACCGCGCAGAATCACACACTGCAACTAATAATGGCCCAACAACTGCTAAGGAGCTCCCAGGCTAAAGGACAGCGTGGCAAGCCCACAGGGCCTCCTCTACCGGGTGCACGCACACTCACCTGCCGCCCCTGACCCCTCTGCTTCCCCTCACCAGAGGCACTCATTCACCTCTTTAATCATTGGAGCTGGAAAAGCTTCCCAGAAACAATGAGCGGCGGGGAGAGAGGGAAGATAAAGCTGTGACAGCTCCGAGTGTGTGGGAGGCCCTGTTCCCCCTGGCCCTGGCGCTGGGACAGTCATCAGAGCTGGCAGGTGCGCCCGGGACCGGTCGTTGAGCTGGTCTCCGGAACCAGGGCTGGAGCCCTGAAAGGCGTGGCGCCCGGAATGCCCCGCCTGTAATCCAGTACTTCTGGAGGCCAATCCCAGCACTGTGGGGAATCCATTGGGTGGGTTTAAAAAATTAACAAAAAGGCCAGCGCAATGGCTCACGCCTGTAATCCCAGCACTTTGGGAGGCCAAGGTGGGCAGATCACAAGGTCAAGAGATTGAGACCATCCTGGCCTACATAGTGAAACCCTGTCTCTATTAAAATACAAAAATTAGCCAGGCATGGTGGCACATGCTTGTAGTCCCAGCTACTCAGGAGGCTGAAGCAGGAGAACTGCTTGGACCCAGGAGGCGGAGGTTGGCAGTGAGCAGAGATGGTGCCACTGCACTCCAGCCTGGCGCCCAGTGACATACCAACTGCTTCTCAAAAAGAAGTAGGATCAGGCGCGGTGGCTCATGCTGGGTGTGGTTGCAGGTGCCTGCAGCCCCAGCTACTGGGGAGGCTGAGGCAGGAGAATTGCTTGAGCCGGGAGGCTGAGGTTGCAGTGAGCCAAGATCTCGCCATTGCACTCCAGCCCAGATGACAGAGTGAGACTCCGTCTCAAAAAAACAAACAAAAAAACAAGACAAGAGACACAAACTCTAACTGCAGACCTTAACAATATTAAAAGGATAAATGAGGCCAGGCACGGTGGCTCATGCCTGTAATCCCAGCACTTTGGGAGGCCTATGCCAGTGGATCAGGAGGTCCGGAGATTGAGACCATCCTGGCCAACATAGTGAAACCCCATCTCTACTAAAAACACAAAAAATTAGCTGGGTGTGGTGATGCACACCTGTAGTCCCAGCTACTCGGCAGGAGGCTGAGGCAGGAGAATCGCTGGAACCTGGTAGGTGGAGGTTGCAGTGAGCTGAGATTGTACCACTGCACTCCAGCTTGGCGACAGAATGAGACTCCATCTCAAAAAAAAAAAAAAAAGATAAATATTAGAACAACTTTGAAATTTGAGATAAAGTGAACAAATGCATTCAGCAAACACAGCTTAGCAAAATGAATAGTCATATATGTGTAATTGAACCTGTAATTAAAAACCTTATAAAGAAAACTAGTCTCACATGGCCTATTAAGTGAATTCTTTCCA